TCTTCCCGATCTCAATTCCACTCTCCCCTCCGAACCTCTCCCTCCTCCCCCGATCCCGATATTGACTGATCCCGACTCCCGGTCCACGTCTCCACATCTTGCGATCCCTCCCCCCCTCCCCCCCCTCCCCCAGCGACTCTCCCCTCTGAACCTCTCCCTCCTCCCCCAACTCACTCTGCCAGAGGAGTATTGTCTTTCCTCCCCCTGACCCAATTGTTGTGACTTCGTGTGCATTTCAAACACCCATCTGGTACGTCGTTTTGGTCCTTCCTTTCCACAACTCCGTGTTAGTTCGCACTTTGCTACTGTACTCTTAGGAAAACCTCGTGGCTTTCCTCCCGGTCATCCGATTTAGTCTAGGGTTGGGCGTAAAATGACATCCGCGAAGAAAACATCGACAACCGTTGGGGCGTCCGCCCTCGAGGAGGGACAAAGTCTTACGCAATCTCCTCCTCAAGATCTTCATTTGAGGGATGCACAATGGTTTTTGGACTTCGTTGTCGAGGGGAACGTTGTTGGGTCAGCTGTTTTCATGCGTCCCTCTGGCTTTCCGGACGCTAAGGGAGCAGGCCACGTTTATCCTGTCGGTACCATCCTTTCGTCCTAGAAACAGTCTCGAGGCTTGCTCAAGCTGAAGACTAACACTTTCTACAACATGTGCAGACTACCTTACAAATGTGCCAAGTGTGTGATGGTTTCGATCAAGAATTTTGCGGGGTATGGCTCGAACATGCTTCACTTCCGTCACTTCAAAGGGTTTTACGATAGCAAAAGCAGGCCTCTTCCACCTCCAGTGGAATATCTCGATCTTGCATTGGAGTTGCCAAAAGAGCGTCCGATTCTTCCGCGAGATTATGTTTTCTTGTTTCTACAATCCCCTGAGGGGTCGTCCGGCTTAGCTCAAGAAACCCCTCTAACGAAAGTGGAGCACGGGAGTATCATTCATGACATTGAGGGTTAGGGCGAGGGTGTGGGGCACTAGCTGGCAGGAGTCAACTGCAGGTCGGCCCGAGTCCTTCTAGGTGCACGTCTGGAGATCCTTTGCCTTCCTTGACTTCTCCAGATGTAGGGACTCATCACGTCGCCACACCGAAAATCGTGAAGTTACGCGGCTAGGGTGACACGTATTCGCTTCGGGATAAGGCAAGAAGAGAATCTGGCAGTTCAGGACAAGAGGTTGAAGGGAATGAGGTTGGAGGGATGGACGCTGTGCGCGACAACTCTGGAGGGGAGCCGACTTCTTCGGAGACCAAGCGCGAGCGACAAAAGACGGTACGAGACGAGGTGGAGGAAGAAACGAGATACATGAAGAGGATGAAAGGATCCTCAGAGCTGATGATTGGCCAGGATGAAGGTGACGTCGGGGAACGCGCCTCGGGAAAAGGCTGCTAAGGATCCTTGGCGGACAAGAAGAAGAAGTCAAAAAGAGGCAGTCAAAGCAATAACTTGAACCAACACGTAAGAAGGCGAAGAGGGTCGACGGTTTGACCATCGGCGAAGGGCAAGCCGTAGAAGCTACGGGTGAAGGAGATTTGACTCATCAAGGCATTGCCGCCGCAGAAAAACCTTCCGAGAAATCTAAAAGGAAACTGACAGTTGAAAAAGGGGATCACCAGAAGAAAGCTCAGAGGAGGAAGGCTGGTGAGGGGATGAGTGGTGGCGAAAGAGCGGGTGGTAAGCAATACGACAAAGCGGTGGCGTTTTGGCTCGAATACGAGCGAAGCGCTGATGGTGACATCGTGGAGAAGGATCACCCAATGCAACTGGTCATCGACCCCAAGAAGGTCTGCGATATCCCGTCCTGGGAAAGATATTATAATCACCGCGGTCTCTCCCGGGATGGTATGGAGGACATCAAAAATGCAATGCTAAGGCAGTTCCGTGAGGAGAAGACAAAGATATGGATGAAAAATACTTTGGTTCTGACTCCCATCTACAAGCCGGTGACGCAGAAGCCGGAGAGAGCTCGGAGGGTTCCCAAGGATGTCTTCAAGCAAGAAGGACAAGGACAAATACTTCTATTACCCCGTGAATGGACAACACATCGTGGCTGCTGTGAAGGAATTGTATGGTGAGCCAATATTCGAATTGTGGAAGATGCACTCGTGACCAGCGAGAGTCATGTGGTTCTCCGATGAAGACTTTGGGGGGTATTTCCAGGTCAGTCTAGCGGAGAACACAAGACACATGATGTATTTGCAGCGTTTGCAGAAGACCACGTTCGAGGACATGCGGGAGGCATGGGAGAACTAGGGAAGGTCGGTGGCTGTTCAAGGAAACCCTTCTGGTAAGGAGGCCGAAAAACAAGCGTTTTTCGAGTTCCCGAAGCTGCTTTTGGGAAAGAGTCTCAATGACGCTCATTGGAGGATGGCACGTAATCCGACAACGCTCGCCGACAAGGACAAAGTTACGGCTATTTGCAATGCATTGAGGCAATGTTTGCCGCTCCTGACGACCGGTGATGAAGTTGTTAGGCGGAGACGGGAAGACGCCGTTGTCGAAGCCTTACAAATACATGCCAGACAAATCTTCCGGGCTTCAAGCGATTCCGAAAATGGGCGCGAAAGGCGCAATTGGTGAGACAAAGATGGGGTGGCTAGTCCGGGTCCCTCCGCCTCAGACAAAAAAAAAAACGCAATTGGATGACAAGTTTTTCGTCTTCGTGAAGGAGCCGGACATGTTCTGTTGGCAATCTCTCGCTGACATGACCGATGTCGAAAAATAATCGATCCTCGAGGACATTCTCACGCTTAAGGGAGTGTTAGTGCAATCGGTGGGTGAGCATCTCAAACGACAACATAAGCCGAGAATTAAAAAGATGGTCACGACGAGGAAAGTGGATCGAACGATGTTTCGCATGTTCCACTACATCTTGTTCCTTGAATTTGAGGAGGACGTAGAGGTTTGGCGCTATGGAAGCCAGTTTTTTCAGACCGAAGAGCAACTTCTGGTGGAGTTCGCGCCGCAGGGCCTCACAAAGCAAGTGTGGGTCTAACCGAGGAAGCATTTCCACGGAGCGATGGAGTACGTTAACACTTGCAAACGTTGTCTTTCATACGAGGAGTCCCTCGACGAAACGAAGAAACTGTACGATGATGAGAAGTTTCCTAAATCCTTCGAGAAGTTCGTCCGCTCCATCTTGCGATGAACAGAGGAAGAAGTCCAAGACACAATCAGGGTCAGCAGGGATGTGAGGCACATCAAATGGCACAAGCTCAAATGCTTTACCAGCCTTATTCCTTTCGGTTGTCCGCCTTCCCAAACTCACATTCGTCTCACTGAGATCCATGAGATTGTGCGACATTACGCATGCGACTGGTACATCCTTGATTTGTGCGATCCCACACTCCTGTCAGATTGGCAAGAAGACAATTTTCGCCTCCTTGCAAGGCGTTCTCCAAACCCTATCGCCAAGGCACTGGGCACTTGTGGTCTTCTTCCCATCCTGTTGGGCGCTCCGTTTCTTGAAAGGCTTGGCCAATCTTAGCGTTCATCACGTGAGGACAGGGAAGTGGGTGCGCCATGCACAAAGGAAGTCCACAGTCTGAGAAGGCAATATGCTGGTCGAGGAATATAATCGCCTGTATGTCGTTTTCAATGGCGAGAACTTGGCAGACAACACGGTCGCAGTGTTCCCAACCGGTAGTCCATCGAAACGCCCCCATACGAATGCTTCAAGTCCGGCCAAACCCGCGGGGGCGGCCTGCTCGAAAGTTGGTTGTTCTTCCGACTCTTCGGGACGGACTGTGACCTGTTTCGACGTGACAAACGAGGACAAGTTCCCTCGCAGCCAGTGGGAGGACGGGGTTGTGGCAAGTGTTCAAGGAGCTGCTTACGGGGACAAGGAATGGAACCCAACTCATCTAATTGGTCTACTCGAAAACTTTTGTCGAGTTCGGCAAACTACTTTTTTCTTTGGGAAGGCGCATGCATGTGTCGTGTGGGAGCTCCTGTGTAGCAGTCGGAACATCGTTGCGTTAGAGGATGAGGCAGAGATGATCGATTACCTTCACGAGTTTGTGAAGACATGCGTGGCGGACCCTCGCAACCATTGCTCTTTTGTCCTGACCACCGACGAACGGAACTGGGATCCCAAACGTGATATGTATTGGAAATTGCTGGAGAAGAAAATGATGGAGGTTTGAGAGTTCCTTTCCCAATCAGGACCGCCTGCTTAGACTGACCTGGAATACAATCGACGAAGAAACCTGGTGTTTAGAGTGTTGAAAGATTACCATGGTGCACCTAGGGAGACTATCTCAAATTTCCTGAAAAAGTTAGAGCACGTTTTCTTCTTCATGGCAGAACAACTAACCCTCGAGAACTACAAGGCGCAGTTTGACGAGGACGACCCTTTCGACGCTGAAGACATGGAGGAGGTGAGCGACTCTGAAACCTTCGATTTTGAGTCCATGCCACTTCCTCGGGTGGTGACACAGGTTGATGATGACGGGGAAGGTGGTCCTCGGAGATATAGCATGTCCCCTTCTGGTTTGAAGTGTGTATTTGAGTGCGAAACAATCGAGGACCAATCGTCTGATGACGGGGAAGAAGAGAGAGACTATGAGTACGCACCTGTTGACAAAACTCCCTAAGGACCATGATACCTAGGAGAATGATAGGCTCTTCTTCTAAGGGATGGTTCACACCAGAGGATGTCTGGGGCCACAACGTCATCTGGTACCCCAGAAAATTCCAACCTGCTGTAAAGAATGGAAAGTGGGTCATGACAATAAAGGAAGCCGGCGGCAAGTGGAGTGGCTTGAACAGATTGGGAGCGGGTCCATTTAAGAAAAAGGCCAAAGAAGCTCTAGTGGAGCATTTGAGTGTAGTAAACCCCGAAAGGAGCCCACATGACGTCAATGCGTATGCAGGCCAAAAGCTCGACGAGCTCTACGACAACAGAATGTTGGAGTTTCGAGCGCCTTTCTACACACTTGAAACGACATCGTCTCGTGGCATTGATTGGCGCATGCCACAACCTCTAGCCGGTGGTCAGCATCCGGGAGGCGGTGGAGGAGGTGACGGAGGAGACGGCTCGGGATCTGGTGCGGATAAAGCAGAGGGGAAGGGGTTCAGCGGAGAGGGTTCTGGAGAAACACGATCTGCCGGAAAGGGGTCAGGCGAAACGTGGTTGGGATCAAAGGGGTCCGACGGAAAAGGGTCCGGCGGAAAGGGGTCGGGCAAAAAGGGGTCGGGTGGAAAAGGGTCGGGGGGAAAGCATATAGCCTTCGGGAGTCGCGCGTCTAGGGGATCTGAAAGCCACTGCAAAGGGAGTCGAGATTCCGACATGCGAGACGAGGCCGCCCTGAGGTCTTATCAAGTGCGAGTAGATTCACACTTATCTGTGAGGACTTTGTTTCACGATGTCGAGGAGAGTTCGTGCCACAGTACGCAACCGACGTATCCTGTGGACAACACCTTGCTCCTGCACCTCTTGGAAGAAGGCGGACGGGACGTATGCAGTGTACGGCAGCATCTCCTAAGCAGCAAAACGATTCCTTACCGGGAACCACGTCTTCGTTTTGCCTGGACGTCGGGATGCCTACATTGCGAAGGAGCGAAGGTGCGAGCATCAGCTCCCTCAACTCTCATGAGTGCCACAAAGTCCGAAGAGATTCGGAGTTACTTACGTCACCTTGCGGGCCGTCCGCCAGCAGTGCTGCTCACGCTACAGTATTGCGGGGCGAAAAAAATGTGAGGTCCAACCCCCCGCATCTTCAGTTGGGCATAGTGTTTCCCTACTCACCGCCGTTCTCAAATGTTGAAACTCAAGACTAGTCGTTTCACAAAGTGTTGGAGGGGTCCGCTGCAGGAGTGTTGGATACAGGGGCTAGCGAGTATTAATGTCATGCTTCAGAGGGTGCGTCCGTCGACTTTGAGAGCAAGAGTACAACAGCTCCAGGGGAAGAGGAGCTCTTACAGGAATCGCATGTTGTGCAGCGGGAAGAGGAAACTCAACACTGGCCGCCTTGCAAAGTGCTGAGGGGTTCGATGCAGGAGTGTTGGAGACCGGGGCTAGCGAGCATCAATGTCATGCTTCGAAGGGTGCGTCCGTTGATTTTGAAAGCAATAGTACAACAGCTCCGGGGGAAGAGGAACTCTCACAGGAAACGCATGTTGTGCAGCGGGAAGAGGAGCTTCTCCAGGGCTCATCGAAAAATACCATCAACATCGGGGACACCGAAGAGGTTCAACACAGTGGGTCGCCACTGACGACGCAAGAGGGTGACGTTAAGGGAGGTTAGTGGACGTTTGTGGAAGGCAAAGACCGTGGGGACGAAGGACGTGCGTGGACGTATGTGGAAGCTCGACTCCTTGGCGATGAGGAAGGCGAAGAAAAACCCGTGGTGGAAGCTCCGCTTCTCGGCAATGAGCAAGGCGAAGAACCCGTGGTGGATACCGAACCCCATACGTTTGGCAACTTCACGAAATACCTCTCTGACGAAGAAGTTCATCAACTTGGTCAACATACGAAACTACTTCTCCCGAATCCCAAGGTGGTTGTTCATGGTGTCCCTCAGCAGTCGGACGGGTTAAACCGCAGTGTTTTCATGCTCGCCTTCACTTCTTTTCTGGCACGCGGTCATCCACCACCATTTCCGATAGCCCAAAGCGACATTCCAAACATCAAGTTGAGGATTGCGATGGACATATTCCAAGGCTTATAATAATACCCCTATTTTGAAAATATGCAAAGTTTTTTATCCGCAAGACCATAAACAGAACTGTGAATCTATTCCCACTAAGTCTGGCAGTCGGCCAACTCGAGTTGTGGTGTTGTTTTGATGAGGTAGAGGATTGCAGTGAACGCTTTGATCAAGTACACACTTAGATGTCGATGTGAATATCCCAACCTCGTGTTGAAGTATTTTTTAAGGGTTCTTCATTTCGAGGAACCTGACAACTTTACTCGTAGGACTTTCTTTGAATTTCTTGTTTTTTTAGTTTTCCCGATGTAAATGTCGCAGCCTTGTGCAACCTGTTTTTTAGGACGCCGGCAGCGCCGTGATGCCTTCGTTTGTTTTAAGGTTATTCTCTTTCCTTGCCGCCCAACATCAGCTAAAGGGTTGCAGTGGACGCTTAGGTCAAGTAGACGCTTAGATGTTGATGTGAATATCATAACCTAGTGTTGCAATATCTTTTAAGTAGACGCTTAGATGTCGATGTGCATATCCCAGCCACGTGTTGCCTTTGTTTGTTTTCGGGTTATTCTCCTTATGTCCTCTACGACTGCGACAGCGTCGTGCTGCCTTTATCCGTTTCCAAGTTGTGCTCATGTGTTGCTCATGGGACAATCTTTGTCCTCTTCTAGACATTCTTTACACTCGTGCTCGTAGGACTCGATACTCTGGTTCATTTAACAAGATGTTGGTGAAAGATATCAATGATTTCTTCTTGGTCGCCAAATTGTTTCGTGTTTATCTCTTTCTTACGTGCGACGTTCTGGTCTGAACCGCCCCCCCCCCAACCCCCCCCGCACCCCATTTTCACATATTTTCACTCGCCCCTCTTCTGCGTATACAGCCCCATTTTACGGTTTTCCCCCTCTGATGTACCCTCCTCCCCACAACCACCCTCCTTCCGCCTGTCTCGTCTTCTGCAACTGAGGTCAATTCTTCATGTATAGTGAACGTTTTTGTCTCCACTAAATGCTAACTGTTGCTTCCATATGACAATTGCAAACTTATTCGCAATTCGGAAGCCAATTATCGCGTGAATGTATGTGTGACTTGACGTTATTTTATGAACTCCAGAAATTTTAGTGGTACAGTAAATGATCACCAATTTTGTTATCGCCAGAATACATATTGTAGTCTTCACTGAATGCTGATTGTTGTTTCCATATGACAAATGCAAACATATTCGGATTTTGGAAGCCATACATTTATGATAAGACCGTTCATATTTACAAATTTGCCAAAATGATTACTTTTTGTGTTGTCACCAAAAATTTGTTCATATCTGCAAGTTCGCCAAAATGATCATCAATTGTGTTATCGCTAAAATGTATACGTGCTTGACCTGTGTGCTTCGACGTTGTTTGTCGCTGAAGGATTGATATGCGGCATTCGCCAAAATGGATGATTGACCAAAATTGTTACCTTATGTGTTGTCACCAGAAGATTGATCATTTATGCAAGTCCGCAAAAAATGATATTTTGTCGAAATGATTACCTTCTGTCATACTTGCGGCGCACTTCTGCGGTGCGCATGCGCCATGTGCCATGCGCAAATTTTGATGCGCTCAATTTTTTTTTATTTTTTTTTTATTATTTTTTTTTTAGGGGTGTATATGTACACCGGGGGGAGAGAGAGAGAGAGAGAGAGAGAGAGAGAGAGAGAGAGAGAGAGAGAGAGAGAGAGAGAGAGGGCAAATCCCGTTAGCACGGCTCAAACGGCCCATGCAGGCAATTTGGAGGGTCCTCGCAGTACTAAACTGCAGACTCTCTATCAAAATCGAGGCCGGTAGTGAGTGTGAAGTAGAGCACGAGCTGGCCCAATATATCCTCAGGATTGAAGTTTAGGTCTGTGTTTCAGCAGTTATGGGTTGCTCACGTAGCTAGGCAGTGTTGGTCTGCAGAGTCTGCAAGTGATTCTCTGGGCTTGGCTGCACTACTCATGAAATGTGCAAATTTGCAAATATAGAAAGAATCTACCGCAGAATGTGGAATAATACGCCGCCATATGTTTTGTCTTTTGTGTATGTGGTGAGTAACGGCCCTTAAGGTCACTGCACGTATTCCTAAGAAAACGAAAACTAGAAAAGAAAAGAAATAGTGAGCAAATTTACAAAATTAGAAAGAATCTACCGCAGAACGTGGAAAAATACACCACCATTATGTTTTGTATTTTGTGTATGTGGTGAGTAACGGCCCTTAGGGCCACTGCACGTATTCCTGAGAAAAGGAAAACTTGAAAACAAAAGAAATAGTGACCCATAACCGAGAATCGGAGATGCACATCCCTGAATTCGAATCCATAGTATATATTCTCTGCTCACGCTGGTGACTGGAAGTTTGAAGTTCGCCTCAGCTGCACGTAGGGTCCTAGCTAATCCGCTATAAGGGCCCTTCGAAAAAGAGGATGGACACAATGAGGAAATGAATACTTGCATGTATAGACGAGTGCCAACAGTTTTGGGGTATCGCGTGGTCCGAACTTTTCTCCCTCGTGCTTTCTAATTTTTAGAAGTGAGGGGAGTGCTTGGCCACCCCACTCTGAACTTTCAATTTTTTTATATTTTATTTTTTGGATACGCCGCATCACATGCGGCGCATCTCATGCGCGTGCGCCGCATGTGCCGCGCCCCCGCGCATGAGATGCGCCGCAAGTATGCCTTCTGTCTTATCGAAAAAATTGACGAATCGGGAAAAAGATTGTCCTCTGTGTCATGTCTTGCAAGTTGCAAATAGTAAAATTGACTTCTCCTGCTTTGCTGGCATTCATTTCTATCCCGCTTAAAGCGCCTCCTCACCTTTTCCGACGACTCCCTGTGCGAAAGCATGTGCGTATTAATTCGTAGATTAAGATTTTCCTCTCTCTCTTTGCTTAAGGGAGTTTATAACTCGCTTAGAACGCCTCCTCACCTCTTACGACTACCGCTTCTAAATTTAAAACCAACCTTTGTCGCACCTTCACAATAATGATGGCGTGACCTTGACATCCATTATCGGACCATCAAAGCATCAGTCGATGTGGTTGCTTTTAGCCTTTTGCAATTTTCGACGCTATCGGACCATCAAAGCATTAGTCGACGTGGTCGCTTTTGCAATTTTCGACGCCTTAACATATCGCTAAAAAGGGTGCACGACGCCTTAACGTATCGCTAAAAGAGTTGCAAAAACATTTAATGTGCACTCATCGTCGTCGCTTTTGCGATTCCTGATGCCCATTCCTTTTAGCTAAAAGGGGTCGACAATGAGTCTTCCATGGGTGAGCGAGCGCGAAATCCAGTTGCAATCTCATATAATGTGGAAATGACCGTTAACAACGAATAATAACCGTTGGCACCTGTACCGTGAGTTTTCACTCGCTTTTATGTTACGTCGGATGCTAGACCTTGAAAATGTGTGATACCTTACCCTTGCGCTTTGATTTTATTTCGTGCTCAAGTGCCGTATTGACGGATAAAGATGCACGAAAATTGCAATAATTCACATTTGCGAGAGTGAGAACTGTACGATGCATCATAATTGTCAGGTTCAGTGTGGGCAAGGTCCTTATATACAAAATATTTCCGAGAGCGCCTCCTGACCTCTTCCAATGACTTCGTGTGTGGCATTTTTATCCTGCTTACAATGCCTCCTCACCTCTTCCAACGACTAAGTGTGCAAAAACATTTGGGAATTAATTCATAGTTTAAAATTTCGTCCTCTACCTTTGCTCGTAGGAATTAATGACCCGCTTAGAGTGTGTGTGAAAGAATTTGTGAATTAATTCGTAGTTTAAGATTCACTCCATATTCAGAGAGTTCGGGTGCTGAGGCTCGGATTGCAGGCAGACAAAACCAAGTGTTCATTTCTCAGATGCCGCTCACCTCGAAAATAGCCAAAAGGCAGAATGTGATCTCGAGAGGGGTTCAATATGATTTTGAAGAGGGTTGGGGTGCTGAAGTTCGGATTGTTCAGTCAACGTTTGTAGCGTAATATTCAGTTTTGACGTTGAGGATCTTTGCCCGGCAAAAGAACTTATAGCGTACTATTAAGTTTTCTCGACAAAGATCCAAATGTAATATTAAGGGGATCGGGGTGCAGCAAAGAAGTTTCAGCAGGTGGCATGCAGGAAAACGTACTCATTTTTCAGATGTCGCTCACCTCGAAATTAGCCAAAAGGGCAGAATGTGATTTCCTGGGGGTCGGGGTGTTGGGATAGAGGGGGGGG